TACTCTATTGTCACTCCCTAAGAGAGAGAAAAAAAAAAATACTAGCTGCGTGGATGGCTTTTTCCATCCTACAATGGGGTTTCCCATTGCTTTTTCTTCATCCTTTCATAAATGCTACATCATCCTTTCGTTTGTAAGGGTTAATGTCACTCTTTGGTAAGGGTTAATGTCACTCTTTGGTAAGGTTTTATCCCTTTGTTAATGAGGATTAGTACTACCTTATAGTGTGGTTTTATACCTCCACAAGTGAGGTTTATTATTGTCCTTAGTGTGGTTTCATCCCTCTAATGGTTGGAGTGTGTTTTATTATGTGATGTGGTGGGTGAAGTTGTGTTGTAACCTTGGCATTATCTAACAATAATAGTAAGTTTTAATTCAAATCTTTTAAGGTTGGGAAGGTTGGGGTCTTAGAGGCTTTGTAATGTCCTTGACTTTGGATGGATGTCAAAAATAACTCATGAGTCTGTCCGTAAGAGATGATTGGGGAGCAATGACTTTAAGCTAAGGTTTATTATTTGGTTACAAGCTACTATGGTGTTGGGTGTGCTATGGCAATATAACTAACACCCGATAAGCAAGTGGATAACCAGATACTCACATATATTTGTTTAACTACCTTTTCCAATTTACTCTAATTTTCATGTTACTTTGTACTTTAGAGGATATACTTGTTGTAAGATATAAGAATTATAGATTTCTAGGATGCCTCTCTTAGTATATATTGTACTCACTTTTTTCTTTTTAACTCAATACAAAATTCTATAGTCAATTTTCTCAAAAAAATAATTAGAAAACAATAATATTTATTATAAATTTACACAATTGCCTTTATTCCTATCTTCCCCAGGCAACACTCACTACATCATCTTTACATTTAATTACTAATTTTTTAAAAGAAACATCAACAGTTCAGTATCCACATAATATTTAAAATTAAAAAGTTTAACCAAATAAAAAAATTTAGGGACTAATATGTACATGTAACCATTGTTAAAGGTAAAAGTATTAGTTTGCTGATATCAACATAAAAAATAACGACAACAATAGTCATATTTGGATTGATTTCATTTAATTAAAAGGTAAGAGAAGTGAGTTAAATAAAAAATTACAAGGGATAATTTCAATAAAGTCAAAGAACAAAAGGGTTAACAATATATTACTTTTTTAAAGTACTTGTCCTCTGCCCACCATTGAGGACATAGAGTTGGGCTGAAGTGATCATCTCATTTTGTTTCGACCTAGACCATCGTGGAGAAGGGATTGTTGTGTCACATATGAATATATCCATTAATAAAATTAAAATTTAATAATTTATTAATAAAATTTTATATTAATCTATAATTAATCACAACTTAAATAAAATTTTTGATTGAATATATATATGTTATAATTATTTTTAAAATAAAAATAAAATAAATTTAAACGCATTAAAAACATTTTAATTACATGAGGTTGAAGTTTGTTTTATTTTTTTATTTGATAAAAAAATAATAAATTTTATTACATTTAAATGAGAAATTATTTATTTATATATAAATTTTATATATTACATTTATACAAAACTTTAACAATTTATATATTTATTTTTAATAGTTGAGATTTGTTATGATTTTTTAATTAAAAAATAATTATTTTTAATAAATATAAATAAATTTTAATAATTAAAAATAAAAAAATAAAATTTTATATAAATATAATATATAAAATTTATATATAAATATAAATAAATCCCTATTCATATTTAAACTCCACGATGTACGCTAACTCGTTATTACTATACTACTTCCTAAGTCCTTATCTATTTCAAACATTACTTCTCCGTAAACACCAAGAAAGCCCACCCTCTGATCACGCCCACCGTTGAGAACATCGAGCTGGGCTGGATTGATCATCACATTTCTCTTTCGATCTAGGCCCATTATGGAAAAGGGGCTATTGTATTCTTTCTGATCCGAATAGATATAATTAGCCCAAAACTCAGTTATCTTTGTCAACATTTAGCTAGAAAAAATGCATGAGAATGACCCCACCATGTGCAACAATTATTGTACCTTTAATTATCAAACAATAATGTATACATCTTTAACCCTATAGGTTAACAATTATTGTATCTTTTATTATCAAACAATAATGTATACAACTTTAATCCTATAGATTAAATTTATTGGTGAAAAAATACTATTTTATAAAATGGATTTATAATTCAAGCTTTAGAATTAATATTTAAAACAAATTATTTTTTAATTCATTAAACTAATATTGAAAGGTGTGCATTAAAAATCACTTAAAAAGAGAGATTAATATGTATAACAGTTAATTGAATGATTCACATCAGTTTAGTGATATGAATTTTAAGTTAAGATCATTCAACTTTGTGAGTCACAGGTTTGAATTTTACAAAATTATTTTCTTATCTTTTTCAATTAATATCTAAATATTTTCAATCTATTCAAAAAAATATGTATAAAACTTAATCTAAAAACACCTAAATTTAAATAAAAAATAAAAAACAGAATTTTTTATTATTAATCAGAAAAATACCATAGCAGCGTTGATTCTAAGCAGTTGCTCATCACCTGCCAAATAACTTTGCTACCGTCACTTTCATTTGTAGCGGTTTTATTAATATTGCCGAAGATTCTCCCTCAAAATTTCAACCTTATTTCCCATCAAAACAAAATTTCAACATTATTTAATCTCTCCTCATTTCTTTTTTGTTTTAAGTGGTATAATGCAACATTCTCCTTTTTTTCACCAGTTAGTTATTTTTGGGTAATTCGTGTATATTACGATATTAATTTTTTTTATTTAGTCAATAACAAGTACATATACTTTAAAATTAATTTTTTAATTTAATTAATTGTAATGATATTAAAATTTATTTTTTATTAACTTATCTAAAAAATTAAAATTTAGTAAAAAATAGAGAAAATAGAGAATAAATTCTTTTATTAATTAAATTACAACTTCTATAGTGTTTGATAAGTGATTCGATCTAGATGCAACCATCAAAAAGATTTTATAAACTCATTTGTCACTTTATAGGAGGTGTACTCGTATGATTTTATGATGGCTTATACCAAAATAAGAGAGTAAATGTGAAGATACAATAGGCAAGGTGAAGTCACATCAGCATCAATTGAACGAAGGCAATATAGACAATACCAAAAAACCCAAGTCAATACCACTAATCATGTGGTCTAATTTTTTTCTTTTTTTGAATATTTTAGTTATAGTACCGACTCGAACCGTTGTTCTTGGAGAGGGGAATATGAACCTTACAAGAGTAATTAGAGCTATTTAACCCATAGGATCAAGTTCAATCATGTGGTCTAATAATAAACTTATTTATATTTTTTATTATAAATTTTTTTTTTTGAACATATTGGCAAGGGGTGGTTCGAAACCGCCCAGAAAAGAGGGGAAATGCACCACTGATTAGTTGATGCCAGTGGGCCTCAAGGACTGGGTGCATATTTTTTATTATAAATTTAATCTTTAATCTTCATATATATATATATAAAGCTAAGTTAATAAATAGGAAGTCCATTCATACCAAATATTATGAGATTATAAAAAATTAAGATGATTTGATAATTAAATTATAATTAAAATATCTAAATATAGTTAATGAATCAACAGATTAAAAAGATTCGTTAAAGTATTTGAATAATTTTATAAATAATTTTAATATTTAAAATGTTAAAACATATTAATTTTCATTTTCTTCATATAACATACTTGGGTGAAAAAATAAGTTCATCATTATATTTAATTACTCTCCCATTTCAAAATTGGCGTTATTTTAGTAAAAAACATTAGAAAATTAATATATTTTAATTTTTAAATATTAGTGTTTATCAATTAAATTTATAAAAAATTATGCGAAAAAATAATTTAAAACTACATCATTTAAATAAATATCACAAAAAAGACCAAAATAATATTATTCTCATTTTAAAAATAAATTATTATAGTTTTTTTGAACAAAATTTATTAAAATACTATAATTTTTGAAATATTTTTTCTATCTAATTTTTTTACAAATATGATAGATAAATACTTTTTCCTTATTTTTATGTTTAATTTTTTTTTTTAATGAACTACAATTTTTGAGAAATGGGAAAGGGGATTGGGGGTAGAGGCCTTCAAACTTAATCGAGAAGTAGTTGACAAATAGTATCATTTTCACTTAACCCACAGTACAAGTTCAATTTTTATGTTTAATTTTATACTTCACAAACTCTTCAAATACATATACATAGATATAAATAAAAGCCTAACATGGAGTAGTTGAAAATTTTTAAAATGTAATTTAGTAGTAACTCTAATCTTATAAATTTCTACAATTAAAATTATCAATCATCGTTCTTAGGCTACCATCAACACCTTATTGAAAATATTAATTTTGTTATAACTAAATTTATTATAATTAATATTTTAATATTTTAATAAATCATAGTTAAGATGAGTGGTTTAGAAGAGTAAATATATATTAATATTAGAGTTTTTGAACAAACTATCTATTAATTTAAATGAAAGAAATTTATTTTTTTAAAATAAAATCTTGAATTTGAACTTTATAAATGAAAGAATAAATTATTAGATATCGAAAGGTTATTACTAGTATAAAATTATGGAAAACAAAATTTTAGTTGACTATTGCTTATTTTAAATTACCAAAAAAATTAATAGTATATAATAAAACAAAAAAATTTATGTAATTTAGTTTTTATCTAAACAATTTAAATCATTCAATAAAAAAGAATTTTATAATATTAAATTATTTTTTATCTAATAATTTTTATATTATATTTAAATAACACAATAATTTTACAAAAAAAAAAAATATAAAATCTAACGGACAAAAATGCAAAAAATGTTAATAAATATAATAACAGAAAGCATTTTATAAAGCATTTTATTTTTAATATTTTTATTAAAAATATTTTAATAAATTTAGAAATAACTATACATTAATGTGCAATTTAAATAATAAAAAATAAATTTCATATAATAAATGCAAAAATGTTAATAAATTGCGCCGCATTTGCCTTTTTCCTATTTTCAATTGTGTTTTTGTCTGCAATGGACAGCTAGATGCATGTTTGTCCCTTTGCTTTGTTGGGATTGTGGTGGAATACAGGGGCCGCTGGTACTTCATCTTTCATTGTCTGCTGCACTCCGCTCAAAAGCCAAAGCTTTTAGCTTTACCGAGGGCGAGAGAGGGAGGATGGAGAAAGCATTAACAAAAGTTAATAGCTTGAAGGTGGGTAGCCTGTGGATCTCAAAGAAAGCCAAGGAAGAGCTCTCCAATATCTCTGAAGATCTCACTGTATGTATACATTCTGTCACTTTCTGCTTTATCTTGTGTTATATTCTGGGTATATTGTCTTCTATTTTGGTTTTGATCAAGGACTGTGTAATGTGGGTTGATTGAGGGATATACCCATTTGTCCAAGATGCTATACCTACTTGATAATTTTGTGTTAACGTGTTGGTGGAAGTTTGCAATTGATGAAGAATGTTAGATCTGTGATTCTTTTAAGAAAAAAAAAAATGAAAAGGAAAATGTGATTTGATATATGAACTAAAATAGCAAGATCTGGATTCTATTCTTTTTTTCATCTAAGATCAGATGGAATTCATTTTGTTTTAAAAAGATTTGGACTGTTCATTGTATTCTATTCTCTGGATGTTTCCACAAGCTGATTACTGACTATGAATGTGAAAGGAAGGAGGAAAAGAGTTGGATGATGTATATATAATGTAGGAGGAAAATTTCAAGTTAATATATTTTAAATTTTAAGTGGTATTTTTATATGTCTTGATTCTGAGTTCTTACTCCTATTCTTCATTCTTTCACCATGTTGGATGATGTATTTTGTGAAATATGGTATTTTGTGAAGCTGACTTTTGTTTAAGTTAAGATTGTGTCGTGTTATCTAACTGTAGGAGGTATCAATTTACTGAGGACAAAATTATACACATCATGTACATCAGCTTCTATTTTCCAAGATCTACTCATTGTTGAAAACGAACTGAACTGTGGATTTGTCTCTTCAAATCTAGATTTCATTTATATGTATAGATAATTTGAGATAGCTTGGAAGCAAGCAATGAAAACGATGTTGCACATTGCTTGGTTCTTGTTGCAACTACAATCTTTGAAAGGAATATCATTTGTTTGTAATGCTTCCTAGTATTTTTGGGGCACAAATGTGATACAAAGTGACTGATCCAAAAAAAAAAAAAAAAGAAGTGACACAAAGTGACGTAATCTGTTATCAGTTAAAGATGAGGTGTTACTAGAGCTATGGATTTCCCAATTTTTGGAAGTTTTTTTATTCCATTGGAAGGAGTGAAAAGTGCTAGTCATAGGCTAACATTACATTGGATTATTCTAGGGCTTGGCATCTTTAAACCTTAGAATATATCTCTTGGGGAAACAAAAGGACAAAGAGGGTTTTTATAACAAATTCCTTGGTTTGGAGTTAAGTCATGGTTTTTTTTCTCCTTCCCCTCATGTAGATATCAGCTTTGATATTTGGAAACCTCTTTCTATTGAGCCATGTGGGTCTTTGTGTTATAGTGATTGGATATATAATAAAATGTTTTTTCCACGATCTCGTTTAAGCATTTTAAGCTTAATCCCTGTTCTTTAAGAAGATTTCCATTCTCTGAATTTACTATAGTCAAAAGGGTTGTCTTGAATGATTTATAGTTGAGAAAAATTCCAAAATGTTGATTTTAGTTAATAAGATTCATCAAATTTCTTTGGCATTTAGTAGCTTCTATTATCTTAATTATAAAGACCAAAGACTAGGTTTACCATGTAGATTATAGCTTTTACTTGTCCATTTCAATAGGATTTTTATGCATTAGTCAATGCTGCTTTATTCTGAAAGTCTTTTACATTATTCTCAAAGTTAGCTTAATATTTCAGACTTTCTCAAACACTGTTGAGGAGAAGGCAAAATGGATCTTCAACAAACTGAAAGGTATGGAAGAATATTTTCCTTAGATTGCTTGTGTCAGTTAACAAAATAAAGTATGCATTGGGTTAGCTAGTTATGTTAATCAGTGAAAGTTGATATTACTGTTCACTGATTAATATAAGTTCTTTTTTGGTTCTCTTAAAATGCTTCATAAAATTGATTTCCCCCATGTGGCCCACTGGTTGGGCTGTGCTCCTCAATGAGGAGCTGGTGGAGATCACCCCTTGTTCCGGGTTCGAGCGCTCATGCTTGCTAACAGATACTAACACAATTAGACTAACCAAGTTTCTACTGTCAAAAAAAAAAAAAAAAGCTTCATAAAATTATCGTTCCATCATCTGAACTTATGATCTGGAACGCTTACAATCCCTAAGTTGAATAGAATACATTTATAATAAACAATAATGGAGACCATCCATATCCTTTAGCAATACACTGGGAGATCTTCTATCAAACCATGTACAATAATTGAATTGCTTTTCCATAAAAAGATTCAAGGAATTATTAGTGTGTGCAAAGGCAGTGGCTTAGCAAAATGGCTTACAGTTTGGAAGGAAACAGAAATTGTAGATAAGTCATATATAAACTAAGTTTTTTTCATTTTAATGTCAGCCCCATTGTATCTAGTTATATGGTTTGAGTAGTGGAGTGTCTATGGAAACAAAAGAGGAATTTTTAATGAATGAAGAATTAAGTCATTAAAATAACTTAAAAGCTGAGTTATTTCCATTAAAAAGTAATTGAAGCTTACTGAAAAACATTACATCTCATCTACATATTCTATGGTGAATTCCATCTATACTGTTTAATCTAGTTTTCTTGCTCCATGAATATCTTTTTTTGTGAAATAGAAGGAGAAAAACTTCCTTTTTTTGTGCGTCTTTGATGATAAGGATGAGAATGGGAAAAGCTTGAATCCTTGTAATAACTAAAAGACTAACTTTTATTAAAAAAATAAAAAAATAAAAAAAGGAAGAAGAAGAAAGAATAATAGAATGTATGTTACCGTTGTTTAGTTATTGCATATTTGCAAGTGTAAAAGGATGATATTTAAGCCTTGTTTAGTTATTATTTCATATGTAGCAAAAGTTCAGCAACTGGAGCTTTATCCTTTCTAGTAGTAGTATCCAGTAGCTTCGTATTGTTGATTCTAGGGTCAAGGTTAGGATTATGGCCTCTACCATAGTCAAGCATACTAATTTCAGAGGGTATACTAGTCATTTTACTGCCAGACTCAATTTGGGATGTGGCTTATATGGACAGTTGCTTGACTATTGTTTTAGAATGTTTTGTGTTTTAGCATTATAGAGGCACTTTTATCTCAGCCCTTGAGATTCTTACCAATATGTTTTTGTTCCTTATAATAGGGAAGCCACTCAAAACCTTGCCAGATCTCCTCCGAGAATACAACTTACCACCAGGCCTCTTTCCTCAGAATGTCGTCTGTTATGAGTTTGATGAATCGAAGGCAAAGTTGATTGTGTATTTGTCCTCTCCATGTGAAGTCAGCTTCAAGGATTCGTCAGTCATAAGATATGCTACACGCGTGAAAGCAATTCTAATGAGGGGAAAGCTCGCAGGTATTGAGGGAATGAAGACAAAGGTCTTAGTATGGGTGAAGGTTACAAACGTTGCTGTGGAGGGCTCCAAGTCTGATAAGGTCTGGTTTACTGCAGGAATGAAGAAAGCAAGACCAAAGGATGCTTATGAAATGCCCCGTGATGCCGTCAGGGTTGAAGAATTTTGAGCACACAATATCCATCACTATTGTCTTAATCTTTGTTGGGCAGTAGGCTAATAACCATCGTGTTTGTATTTTCGTGTTTGACAACATCAAATGCATTACCATTCAATATTTAATTCTCGTTAGGTTAGCTTTACATTACTTGCGTAGAAACAGATACCATGATTGAACAAACTAGCTGCATGATTGAACAAACTAGCTGCATGATTGAACAAAATAATCATGATCCAGGAGATCACAAGTAAACCTAAATGCTACTCATTAAATTACTTTGGTTGCACATGGGATTGCTTTCATCTTACTTCTTTTGATTTTAGGTTATACAATTGGGAGCCAACCTCTTCATCATTTAACTAACATCTGTATGTTATACAATTTGAATTTAAAATTTTTTATTTTTACTAAAAAGAATTGTTATTAAACTATTTAAATTGTTGATTAAACCCAGATTTACCTAGTTTATTGGCCCACAGTGCTTAACCTACAATTACGCAGTGCTAGGTGTACTTTAACAATAACTATCTTTAACATTTAACTTATACAACATGCTCAACTGCTCATTGAAAAAAAAATTGCCGCCATTCCATTCAATCAAAATGTTGTAAAAAGCATTTTTTTTCCGATCAATTATTACAAATACAAAACGAGAGCTAAAATAAAGTATCAAAAAACTGTCATGCAACACAAATTGCACAACATATACCATTAGACTGGCAGTCGACTCTAATAGATTATTTGAGGTTGTTCCCCCATTCAATGTACTTAATTTTCAATTCAGTATAATTCAGACTAAAAAACAGGGAACTTATAAAGAAAAATGACATTGAACATTTTTCAGTTTTTGATGAATGTGGCTTGGCTACTGTGTCGATTACATAATTTGCCTATCTTAACTTCCACAATTGCTGGCCAAATCAAAAAGAAGCTCCAGTCGAGTCATGAAAAATCTCATAAATTGCTATTATATTCTCAACACTTAAAAGAAAAATGATGCACCACTCCAAGAGATCTGACCGTCTGTTTTGGATAACTTCTTGAAGGAAACGAATGTTGTGCTGCAATGCAATAGAATTGCATTTACCACCAAAATTCTAATTGGTTCAAATGTAAATATATGAACAGGAAGCACTTTCATCATCAACGATATAAACTGACATGATAATCACAAGCATCATGGTTCCAAATGCTGTGAAATAGTAGCTACCAGAAACATACAGCTAAACTATATTTTTGTTATTAGATATTAATAAAGAAAAAAAAATTTGTAAAGGAATAAAAGTTGCAAATTGATTTGAAGGCCCAAGAGACCCAGCAGAATTTAGATTTGGCTAATTTATTATGTTAGAAAAGGCACAGGTATACATCCATGCATTTCAGCCTCTTGGATATATATAAGACCTTAAAAAATAGTTGGTTTCTATCCATCCAACTTCTCTAATTTTTGAGAGAAGCTGATTGCTAAGCATCTTCACATTTGTTCATGTCATTCATGAAGTAAACCCTGCTTATATCCCAATTCCAGTAGCTTTTCAAAATAAAGTTCAAATTTTCCTTTTATGATTGTGTGCACAAACTACAAAGAAACAAAGATAGTCCAAAAGAATCACATGCATAACGTAAGGACATACATACCTCAACAAATTTTAGTTTGAAATCCAGATTTCCAAAGCGCTGTGTTACCTCATACTCCTCCCGAAGGTACTCATATATTAGAGCATATTTAGCATCTCTCCAAGCAATTTCTGATCTGGATAGTAAAGAAAAAACTATGAGAGGCTCCCAAGTGAAAAAAAAAAAATGCTGGTCAAACTTGTTAATTGTAACCAACTTAACAGTGAGGATTTTGGAATTGCTCAGGAATTGTTTTAGTAGAAAAGGGGGGCTGAGGAAATGAAAAAAAATAACTACAGAACCATGCAGCCAAGCACGGTTTCTGATCAAGGTTCCTGACTAAGCTGAAAGAATAACTGATCTAGCAAATTTAGATAAACCCTCCCAAATTTAGGTTACACTTGATGAAACAACAGAAACAACTTATATGTGATTTTATCATATCAGCAAGCACATATGGTACAAACCACTACTCCAACTTTTCACACTCCCCTAAGAATGTTACTAAAATTTTGGAGTGCCAGTGACGCACACAAGTTCAACAGTCAAAACCTTACTCAACTCCAAGCAGCAAGCAATAAAATCATAAAGAACAGTCATACTTGGAGAATAATTCCACAGCATTCAACAAATTTTATAAGCACTTATAGACCTAAAAACACTTCTTACTCTTAATGGAGCTATTTGATGATTTGACCCAGTATGATACCATCAAAGTGTAGTTATACAAGCAGGGACCTAGCAAGATCCTATCCTTTATGATTTTTTGCTTGTTTTATGTGCACTATGCAGCAACTAGAAAAGACGGGATATTGTTCTTTTCTCATTCCTTGTGACCATCAATCTAAGATTTCTACCATCAGACCAAAAAATGGTTTCTTGATACATGATATGGTGAGCTTAAACCAAGCAACCCAAATATGAGCTTAGGCTTATAAATTAACAAGTGCAGCTTAAACTATGTATAGCATCTTATAATCCCACACATAGCCCTTGAGCCTAGATGTACAAAGATGTAGGAATGTTCAATAAAAAATATGACAATAAAATTAATATCAGTAAATGATAATCCATAAATTCATAATTACTTTGCCTCATCATACTGTCTAACCTATCCACTCAAAGAATTATCAACACCAGAAAAGTTTTCTAAAAAAATAAAAAAAGAAAAGAAAAGAAAAGGAGAGGAAAGGAAAAAAGATGAAAAATAAGAACAGAAAGGAAGAGGTAGAGAGAGCATAATGCAGCATTCAGCCAAAAAACTATATTTTGTGCCTCAAACCTTAATTTACTACCCAAGGAAATGCAAATCATGATCAGAGCTGACTAGCACTTCAAGATTTGTTTTGCTCATTTTTCTCATACATTCTATGTTTCAACAAGGCAATTGTTTTGACCACACAATATGTTATAAATCAAGGGAGGAATTAGGCCACACTCAATCTTCATAGGAAACAAATGCAATAACATTATTACCTATCAAAAAGACCAACTTTGAGAATTACATCAGCTAGATTTGAATTAGCTTTTCCAACAAGCTGAATGAGCTTTGTTCTATCCATTGTGAAAGTTCCAGTCTTTTCCATTGCACGGTTTATACCAGCAAACTCTTCAACCATTCCATCAACCTGACAAAGATGCACACAAAATTAAAATAATAAATAAAAAGTGAAGACAGGTAGTCAATACATTTCATTCTCTGAAATGTGGATTATAGAAGCTAGTAGCTAAAAGCAATATAATATATTCCTTCTAGCAATTGGCTTACAATGTTAGAAGGGTTCATTTCTTTTGTAGAAAAATAGCCTATAATATTACACTACAAATGATTTGAAGAAATTGTCTGAAGTTTGTACCTGGGACACAAAATAATCCAAAGCAATACTCTGGCCAAGCACGCTTGCAATGATGCGGATACTATCAGTGTCCAAAGTTTTGAGAACAATGTAGTCTGGCCCTCCCTGCATATCTTTAACCAACGATGGCTGCTCTTTTACAGTATAATCTAACACAATAAATCAAAAGACAAACAGATAAATTAGTTTTATATTTGTCAAAATGTATTTAGGAAACAAATATGCCTAAGAGAAGAATAAATTCACAGAACTACGTGGCATATAGAATACCAAAGTTTTCCAAGAGATTAAGAACAAACAGAATAAATTCTCTCCCCATAATCATATCTTTTGATCAATGCTGTCAAATACGTTTGACTAATATGATAAAATATTTTGAAACAATGCAGATGAAGAAATATTGGCACTTTTGATTCACAATATTTATCCTATAGAAAAATATGAGCACAGTACATAGGATACTTAAGTAACATACCATCTTTCCGCATCTCAGGAAGTAACCCAGATGCATATTTTCTGACCACTTCCAGGTAACTTTCAACTTCATCCTCCTCAATGTTAAACAAGACAGCAGATCCATACTGATACACAACCATGTATCGGCAGCTGCTTGCATTCTCTTTCACCCCAAGTGCCTAAATCCAAAGTTTGATGTTAGAGAAGAGACTGTCCAGCCAAGGATATTATTGTACTTAGAGAAATAATTATAAAAAATTAGAGAGATAAGGGTAATTCTAGTTTAACAAATACAACAAATGAAGAGATGTCCAGCAGAACCATACCACGGGCAGCAAATATAAAAAAAGCACAAAGGACCTAACCATGTCACATTTATTTGCTTCATAAACAGATTTATCCAAATGAAAATCAATATGAAAAGTAGAAGGTAAGAGTAGTGGAAAGAACAAGGTTGTTTCTTAATTATCTTACAGTAATTTCTGGAGGGAAATCATAATATCTGAGGGCAATATAATTTGATGATCGAGAGGTAGGGGGCACAATGTTGCTTAAATTCTCAGCTTGCAATCTCTTCAAATCAATACTGCCAAAACCATGAAACTGAGAAGCCATCTCACCAAGAACAAAAGCAGAGCAATATATACACAAAATATGATGGTGGGACAGAGGCACCAAGGCAATATATATATAAAGTAGGAGAGTGTTACCAATATTATTGGAACTGACAATTGTATAACAGGAACAAGAATCCAGTCCGGAAACATATATCCACATAACCTAAACTAGCTACACTAGGATTTCAAATGAAAGACAATAACAACACAAACAAAATTCCCTAAAACGCAATTCGTACATCCCATAAATCCTAAAAACACAACATACAAGCGCAAGGAACAAGAACACATGTTTTCATCTGAGACATCAAATTTCAAGAATGGAGTTGAAGGGGTTTTCAAAAAGCGTTGACATTCATTGAAAAAACTGGAGAAGAACAGATAAAGTAGCGAACCTGGTGCAAAGGAAGTAGGCCTTGATGGGAATCTTGCTGGTTTTCTCTTCTTCTCTGAGTACCAATCCATGGTTCTGACACAAATCAAGTGACCCATAATCCGAATCATTGGTATAAACGAGAACTCGAGATGGGATTGCAGAGAATGATCTTGGAGAAAGAAGACGAAGAGATGGGTGTGAAGAGAGAGGGATATGAAAAGAGTTTGCAAGAGAAGGATTGGAGGACGGCCTTCTGGTCATGTGGTTGAAGAATAGAGAAGCGGCAGCTCTCCATCTACCCATTCACTGGAACGGAATGGGATTGTAGTTCACAATTAAAGAGCTTTTTGCAGTGCTCGATTCATGGATTTATCTTCAAGTTTTCGGAATTGAGATGCATCAACCAAGAGAGGCGGAGGATTCTTTTGTTTTTTTTTTTTTTTTTCCCTTGAGAGAAGGCAGACGTAGAGCCTGAGGATATGTTCGCAGAACAAACTGGAGTAGTAGAGAAATTTTCCTTTTCAAGGTTCGGATTGCCAATTTGCCATTGGAATTTTGGATGGTGTTTCCCCTTTGGCATTTCAATTTGGACCTTAAACTCTTATTTTTTTGAACCAAATGTGTCCTGAACTTTCTTTCTACACCAAGTGGGTCTAAACCTATATAAAAGTCAAATTAAGAGTCTGTTTGGTATAACGATTTTAGGATAACGGTTAACGGTTTTACCTAAATTGCTAAATATAGATGTTTGGTAAATTTATATATTTCGAAATCGCTATAAATAAAGTATTTGGTAAAATTTTTATTTAACAGTTTGAGACTAACGGATAGCGATTAAGGTTCAAACCGTTAGCGGATTGAAAAAATTAGTTTATAACTTTATATAGCTTTTTATATCAAACCGTTAGTGAATTAAATTTTTTTAATTTATTGACAAATTTATCCATTTTAATTTTTTGATTTGTTGTCACATTTTTTAATTAATAATTATCTAATAAATTTCAATTTTGTTTTTTTACATTTAATAACATTAAGTGATTATAATATTTTTTTATACATTAATTTATAATTA